CACAACTCATCTGGTCTGAAGTCATTGATGTTCAGTGTCAAATCTCTTCTTCCTATGGTTTCTAGATTCAGGTGTGATGTAATCAAGATCATATTTTGGCTCTCATGCTTTCATTTTCTTCAGCTTTAGAAACTGCAATTGATAGTCAGTTCCATAGTCAGTTCCTGGCCTTCTTTTGACTGATGAGCTTCTTCATCACACCTTTCCACAGATGTAGTCAGTCTGATTCCTGTGTATCCCATCGGATGAGGTCCACGTATATTGCTGCCATTTATGTTCTTGAAAAAAATATATATATTTGCAATGAATAAGTCATTGGTCTTGCAAAAACCTATCATGAAATCTCTGGCCTCATTTTCCAACTACCAAGGCCATATTTTTTCCAAGGCCATATTTTCCAACTACCAATGATTCTTCTTTGTTTCTAATTTTTGCATTCCAATTACCAGTAATAAACAATACATCTTATTTGAATGTTTTGTCAATTTCACACTGCAGAAGTTGGTAAAAGTCTTCACTTTCTTCATCTTTGGCTTTAGTGGTTGGTCTATAAATTTGAATAATATTAGTATTAACTTGCCTTCCTTATAGGCATATGAATATTATCCTATCACTGACAACATTGTACTTCAGGATAGATCTTGAAATGTTCTTTTTGACAATGAATGCAACTCCATTCCTCTTCAGTTTGTCACCCCTAGCATAGTAGACTATATGATTTTCTGATTCAGAATGGCCAATACCAGTCCTCAGTTCACTGATACCTAGCATATTGATCTTTGTGCATTCCATTATATTTTTGACAACTTCCAATTTTCCTAGATTCAAACTTCATAGATTCTACATTCTGATTATTAGTGAATGTTTGCAGCTGTTTCTTCCCCTTTTGAGTTGTGCCTTATTATCAAATGAAGATCCCACAAGCTTTATTCCATCTACATCATTAAGGTCCACTCTACTTTGAGGGGGCAGCTCTTCCCCATTCATATTTTGAGTGCCTTCTAACCTGAGTGACTCACCTTCCAGCATATTTTGAGTGCCTTCTAACCTGAGTGACTCACCTTCCAGCATTTTTGTATCAGACAGTGATTCACTGATATGCATCAAGTTTTTCAGTAATATATCAGACAGTGTTTCACTGCTATTCATAAGATTTTCAGTGACCAATTTTTTCAGAAGTGTATGGTCCCATTCTTCTCCCTAGTCAGTCTCAGTCTGGAAGCTCCACTGGGATGACCATGTTGGTATTTGAAATAGCGATGGCATAGCCTCCAGCCTCCCAGCAAAACACACATCACTATAGTACCACAAACTGACAGATGAGTGGTGGCCAGGGTTCCTTAGCCAATGTTTGTGCAAAAAAAAAAAAAACCTCACTGCCATTGAGTCAATTCCCAGTCATAGGGAGCTCTGGTAGCATAGTGGCTAAGGCACTTGACTGCTAACCAGAAGGCTGGCAGTTCAAACCCACAGCCACTCCTCGGAAGGAAGATGGGGCAATCTACTTCCGTAGTAATACTGCTTCGGAAACCCAAGGAGGGGTTGCTATGAGTCGGGTCCGACTCGACGGCACATAACAACAACAACAACAACAGTGACACTTTAGGGCAGAGTGGTAGTGTCCCATAGGGTTTCCAAGGCTGTAGCTCTTTATGGAAGCAGACAGCCTCATCTTTCTCCCACAGAGTGCTGGTAGCTTCCAACCACCAGCCTCTTAGTTAGCATCCAAATGCTTTAATTACTTTTCCACCGGAGCTCCTTCTTGTTTATGTGGTGCTTGTCATTTAGGCCCTATGTGCTTTTATGGAGCCCCTGAGTGGTGCAAATGACCAAGCATTTAGCTATTAACTGAAAGGTTGGCCATTTGAATCCATCCAGAGCCAATTTAAAGGACTGGCCTGGTGACCTGCTTCTGGAAGATCACAGCCATTGATTCCCTTTGGAGCACAGTTCTACTCTGATACACATGGGGCATTGCCATGAGTCAGAACCAACTCTACTGCAACTGGGGTGGGCTTTTTGTTTTGTCTTTTTGGTTTGTGTACTTTTAATATGCAATGTCTTTTAATTCTCACAATGGCACAGTGATGTAGGAAACATTATCCCCATTTTCTGATAAGAAAACTGAGGCATAAAAAGATTGTGTATGTGCCTAAGAGTTTACAGCTGGAAAGCTGTGGACAGTGTTCCACCCTAAGCAGAGTAGGTCCACATGTTTTAACCACTATACCACCCAATCTCTCCTTTCAGATATTTTTCAGGGACTCTAAATAAAGCTTGCACCAATTAGAAAACCTTGCTATAACATCCCAAGGCCAGTTTTCTGACTTTAAGTTCCACAGGTTGTAAAAGTTCCAAGGAGTAAGCTGTTTGAAAATTGATTTATAGAGAAATGATAAAGGATTGTGAAGGATCCCATTCCTGCAAAATAAATAGCTTCTGGGAGTGTGAGGATTTTTTTTTTTTTTTTTCCAGGGGCCTTTCCTGAGTGGATGATACAATGTGGAGTGTAACTAGGTGGGACCTGAAAAACGTAATTAAAAACAACAATGATGAGCATCAGAGGTAGAATTTGTGGAGTTGACTAAATGCTGAGTCCTTTACTTACATCATTTCAAGTTCTTACAGCCTTTCTAAGAGACCATCTTTCTGTCCCCTTCATAGCCCAGGCTTACCCAATATTCTACTTTGCTCATGTTTCAGTTTTATCCCTTCTTATGAATAAAATTGAAGATCAAACTGTCACTTTGCTTAAGATGCACAATTGCTTTACAGTTTTGATTTCTCAAATGTACTTACTCCCACTGCCATTGAGTTGATTCCGACCCATAGTGACCCTATAGGATAGAGTAGAAGTGCTCCATAGGGTTTACAAGGCTGTAAAACTTTACCAAAGCAGACTCTATCATCTTTCTTCCATGAAGTTGCTGTTGTTGTTGTTGTTATGTGCATGAAGTTGCTAGTGGGTTTGAATTGCCAACCTTTTGGTTAGCAGCTGAATACATTTCCAAATATAGTTTTGAAAATTGAAACTTTTCATATGTGTATCTTTGATTGCTGTGAAATTTGATTACCCTCTTTAATGTCCGTATGTCTCATTTTGTTTATTCAGTAAAAGAATTTGGCCAAAATTTATATTAATTATTTATAGAACAGTATACCTACATGAGGAGCCCTGGTGGTGCAGTGGTTAAGGACTTAGATATTAACCAAAAGGTCTGCAGTTTGAAAACAATAGAAAGATATGGAAATCTGCTCCTGTAAAGATTTATAGTCTTGTAAACCCTGTGGGGCAGTTCTACTATGTCCTGTAGGGTCACATTGAGATGGAATCAACTTGATGGCAATGGGAGTGAGTATATTTGAGAAAACAAAGCTGGAAAGCAAATGTACATCTTAAGCATTGTGACAATTTTATCTTCAGTCGTCATGAGTTGAAATCGATTGGATGACAATACTCACATATATAACATGTTTTCAATTTGTAATAATATAATAACTTTAGGTAATGCTCATTAATTGCTTTACTCTGGAACTCATCCTGGGCTAAATTCTTTTAGCTAATCCTTCTATGGGTGTGTATGTAGTGGCATAATTATATTATCCCCATTTTATAAAATGGTAAATTGAGGCATAGGGAGGTGGTGGTAAATTACTTGCTCAAGGACATATTGTTAATTAAAAGAAAGAAAGAAAACAACATCCATATTCAAACCCAAACACAGTCTCCATCTTCAGAGACTGTTCTATTGACTAAAGCATAAAATGTATCTGTTTTAAATGAGAAGCTTAACATTGAGACTGTTGCATAACAATTATCCTTGCATTCCATGTAGATTCCATTAGGAAACCTGCAAGTAGAAACAATCCCTGACTTAGTCAATCTATTTCATGTAGTTAGTCCATTGAACAAGTCTGAAAATTAAGAATGAAATAACTTCATTAAAAAAATGTCAATTGTGTAAAATATTGTTAATTCTTGGAAAGCAGTGCTGATATGCACCTGTTGAGCTTCTCAAAGAAGGAACATCTCTAAGAGTGGCTTCTCTCTGCACAAGGATATGAAGAGTAGATTAATGAACTGTGGGCAAAATTGTGACTTCAATTCATCTTTTTCTAACCCCGAGACTTTTTTCTATTCCCCTTTTCCATTTGTTCCATGAGTATAATTTCTTGTCCCCATCCCTCATTACCCAGGACCCTTAAACTTAAATATCCCTCTCCCCAAACACCTTGTAGTTGTTAATTGCCATCAAGTTGGCTTCAACTCGTGGCAACCCACGTATAACCTCATGTACAGAAAGACACAAGGTTGTCCAGTCCAATACCATCTTCACAGTCATTGGTATGTTTGAGTCCATTGTTGTGGCCACTGTGTATTTTGAGTGCCTTCCAACCTAGAGGACTCATCTTACAGCACCCTATCAGATAATATTCTACTGCGATCAACAGGATTTTCATTGGGTGATTTTTAAAAGGGAGTTCTGGTGTTGCGGTGGTTAAGCACCCAGCTGCTAACCTAAAGGTCAGCATTTCAAAGCCACCAGCTGCTCTGCAGTAGAAAGACAAGGCAGTCTGATTCCATAAGGATTACAGCCTTGGAAACCCTCTGAGGTAGTTCTACTCTGTCCTATAGGGTTGCTATGAGTCAGAATCAATTTGACAGCAATGAGTGTTTTTTGTTTTGTTTTTAATTTTTGGAAGTGTGTCACCAAGTCTTTCTTCCTCGTCTGTCTTAGTCTGGAAGTTCTGCTGAAACCTGTGCACCATGAATGACCCTGTTGGTATTTGAAGTACTAGTGGCACACTTCCAGCATCATAGCAACACATGAGCCACTACTATATGAAAAAATGACATGTACATGTCATGTAAATTGGAAGGAATCTGATCATCTGCTGCATATTTCATCCCCAGCAGGACCACCATATACAACCATATTGACCACTTACATTCTAGGTTGAGTGTTTCAGTGTGCTGATCAACGTCTTGTTTCTCACAGAGCTCCAGGACAGCACGCTCTGAGGAGGACCGGGACGGCCTGTGGGATGCCTGGGGTCCATGGAGTGAGTGTTCACGTACCTGCGGTGGAGGAGCCTCTTACTCCCTGAGACGTTGCCTGAGCAGCAAGTAAGTTCCTCAGTCACTAGGGTTCTTCTTTGAGGTCCAGAGGTAGTAGCTCAAGGTATACTTTTGTGGCAGGGTCATGGAGACCATTTTGTTACTCCCAAATCCAGATGATTGGATTGGCTTGGTTCCAGGGCCAGCTTTATTTTGAGGCTGGGACCCAGAAAGGCTGGGTGCAGAGCAGTTAGGAACAAATAAGGGAGGCAAATTTGTCTGTCAGTTTGTTGTCCTGTGGTGACTTACATGTTGTTGTGAAGCTGGAGGCTCTGCCACCAGTATTGCAAATGCCAGCAGGGTTACCTATGGTGGACAGGTTTCAGCAGAACTTCTGAGCTAAAAACAGAAGAAGAAAGAGGCCATCCACTTCTCAAACAACTGGCCGATGGAAACCTTATGGATAACAATGAAACACTGTCTGATATATTAGAGGGAAACTTTATGAATAGCTGTGAAACATCGTCTGATATAGTGCCAGAAGATGAGCCCATCAGATCAGAAGGCACTCAAAATATGACTGTGGAAGAGCTGACTCCTCAGAGTAGAGAAAATCTCCTACATGGTATGGGTGGGGTAAAGCCTTCAGGACCTCCATGGGCTGATATGGCATGACTCAAATGAGTACAAACAGATGAAAAGATCCATTAATAATTGGAACATGGAATGTATGAAGTATGAAACTAGGAAAATTGGCAGTTGTCAAAACGAAATGGAATGCATAAAGATTGTTATTCTAGGCATTAGTGAGTTGAAATGGACTGGTATTGTCTGTTTTGAATCAGACAACCATATGAACTACTAAGAGGAATGGTGTGGCATTTATCACCATAAAGACTGTTTCAAGATCTGTCCTGAAGTACAGTGCTGTCGGTGATAGGATAATATCTATACACCTTCAAGGAAGACCAGTTAATACTACTATCATTCAAATCTATGCACCAACCACCAAAGCCAAAGATGAGGAGATTGAAGATTTCTAACAACTTTTGCAGTCTGAAATTTATCAAGCATGTAACCAAGATCTATTGATTATCACTTGTGACTGAAATGCAAAAGTTTGAAGCAAAGAAGGGTTACTGGTAGTTGGAAAATATGGCCTCAGTGATAGAAATAACGCTGGAGATTGCCTGATAGAATTTTGCAAGACCGATGACTTCTTTTTTGCAAATACTTTTTTCAACAACATAAAGGATGGTTATATTACATGGACTTCACCAGATAGAACACATAGGAATCAGATTGACTGCATCTGTGGCAAGAGATGATGGAGAAGTTCAATATCTTCAGCCAAAACAAGGCCAGGAGCTGATTGTGGAACACACCCTCAACTGCTCATATTCAAGTTCAAACTGAAGTTGAAGACAATTTAAACAAGTCCACGAGAACCATAATATAACCTTGATAATATTAATCCTGAATTTAGAGATGATCTGAAGAAGAGATTTAATGCATTGGACACCAATGATAAAAACCAGAGAAATTGTGGGATGACATCAAGAACATCATCCATGAAGAAAGCAAGAGGTGATTAAAAAGACAAGAAAGGAAGAAAAGACCAAAATGGATGTCAGGAGAGACTCTGAAACTTGCCCTTGAACAGAGAGTAGCTAAACCAACTGGAAGAAATGACTAGATAAAAGAGTTGAACAGAAGATTTTTCAAAGAGCAGCTTGAGAAGACAAAGCCAATTATTATAATGAAATGTGAAAAGACCTGGAGTTAGAAAACCAAAAGGGAAGAACATGCTCAGCATTTCTCAAACTGAAAGAACTGAAGAAAAAATCTAAGCCTCAATTTGCAATATTGAAAGATTCTATGGACAAAATATTGAATGATCCAGGAAACATCAAAAGAACATGGAAGGAATACACAGAATCACTGTACCAAAAAGAATTGGTTGATGTTCATCCATTTCAGGAGGTGGCATATGATCAAGAACCAATTGTATTGAAGGAAGAAGTTGAAGCTGCACTGAAAGAATTGACAAACAAGGAATTGACAGGATACCCATTGAGATGTTTCAACAAATGGATGCCCCACTGGAGGCACTCACTCGGCTATGCCAAAAGATTTATAAGACAGCCACCTAGCCAACTGGCTGGAAGAGATCCATACTTGTACTCATTCCAAGGAGATGTGATCCCACAGAATATGGAAATTATTGAACAATATCATTACTATCACATGCAAGTAAAATCTTATATTGAAGATAATTCAAAAATGGTTGCCACTGTATATTGACAGAGAGCTTCCAGAAATGCAAGCTGGATTCAGAAGGGGATGTGGAATGAGGGATATCATAGCTGATATTAGATGGATCTTGGCTGAAAGCAAAGAATACCAGAAAGATGTTTACTTACATGTTATTGACTATGCAAAGGCATTCAATTGTGTGGATCATAGCAAATTATGGATAACATAGAGAAGAATGTGAATTCTAGAACACTAGATTGTACTCATGAGGAACCTGTACATAGACCAGTAGGCTGCCATTCGAACAGAAAAAGGGGATATTGCATGATTTAAAATCAAGAAGGGAGCGTGTCAAGGTTATATTCTTTCACCATACTTATTCAATTTGTATGCTGAGCAAATAATCTGAGAAGCTGGACTATATGAAGAAGAACATGGCATCAGAATTGGAGGAAGATTCATTAACAACCTGCAATACACAGAAGATACAGCTTTGCTTGTTGAAATTGAGAATGACTTGAAGCACCTACCGATGAAGATTAAAGACTACAGTCTGCAGTATGGATTGTTGTTGTTGTTGTCATGTGCCTTCAAGTCATTTCTGACTCACAGCGACCCCTCCTTGGGTTTCTGAGGTGGTATAACTGTGGAAGCAGATAGCCCAGTCTTCCTTCTGAGGAGTGGCTGGTGGGTTTGAACTACCAGCCTTCTGGTTAGCAGTCAAGTGCCTTAGGCTCTACACCGCCAGAGCTCCTGCAGTATGGATTATATTTCAATATTAAGAAAACAAAAATTCTCACAACTGGTCCAATAAACAGTTTCACGATGGATGGAAAAAACATTGAAGTTGTCAAGGACTCCATATTATTTGGTTCTACATTTAGCACCATTGGAAGCAGCAATCAAGACATCAGATGATGTATAGCATTGAGCAAATCTGCTGCAAAAGATCTCTTCCAAGTGATGAAGAGCAAAGATGTCTCCTAGAATAATAAGGTGCGCCTAACCCTAGCCATGGTGTTTTCAATCACCTCTTATGCATGTGAGAGCTGAACAATGAATAAGGAAGACCAAAGAAGAATTAATGCTTTTGAGTTGTAGTGTTGAAGAAGAATGCTAAGAGTCCCATGGGCTGCTAAATGGACTAACAAATCTGTTCTGAAAGAAATGCAGCCGGAATCTTCATTGGAATCAAGAATGGCCAGACTTAGTCTGACCTACTTTGGTCTTGTTGTAAGAAGGAACCATTCCCTGGAGAAGGATATCATGCTTGGTAAAGTGGAAGGTCAACGAAAAAAGTGGAAGGCCCTCAATGAGTTTAATTGACAGTGGCTGCAGCAATGGGCTCAATTATAGCAAAGATCATGAGGCTGGCACAAGCTTGGGCAGTATTTCATTCTGCTGTGCATATAGGGTCGCTATAAGTCAGAAACGATTCAACAGCATCTAACACAACAACAAATCCAGATGAAAGAAAGGAATATAGGGAAAGTGTGAAGATTAAATGCATGCTTTTTATTATTCTTTTTTAATGTCCATGATATGATAGCATTAATATTACATGCAAGTAAAATTTTCCTGACAACAATTCAAAAAGAGTTATAACAGTACATACACAGGTAACCACCAGAAATGCAAGCTAGTTTCAGAAGAGGATGTAGAATGAGGAATATCATTGTTGATGTCAGATGAATCTTGGCTGACAGTAAACAATACCAGAAATATGTTTACCTGTGTTTTATTGACTATGCAAAGCCATTCAGCTATGTGGATCAAATTATGAATAATACTGTGAAGAATGGGAATTCCAGAGTATTTGATTGTGCTCATGAGGAGCCTGTACATAGACCAAGTGAAAGTCATTTGAATAGAACAAGAGGATACTGCATGGTTTAAAATCAAGAAAGATGGATGTGTATTGGGTTGTATGCTTTTACCATATTTATTCAATCTATATGCTGTGCAAATAATCTTAGAAGCTGCACTATACAAATAACACATCAGGATTGGAGGAAGACTCATTAACAACCTACAATATGCAGATGACACAACCTTGCTTGCTGAAAGCAAAGAGGAGTTGAAGCACTTCTGATGAAAATTAAAGACTACAATCTTCAGTATGAATTACACCTCAACATAAAGAAAATGAGAACCTTCACAACTGGACCAATAAGTAACACCATGCAAACAGAGAAAAGATTGAAGTTGTCAAGGATTTCATTTCACTTGGATCCACAGTCAACACCCATGGAAGCATCAGTCAAGAAATCAATGTATTACATTGGGCAATTCTGCTGCAAAAGACTTCTTTAAAATGTTAAAGAACAAAGATGCCACTTTGAAGACCTAGGTACACATGACCCAAGCCATGGTGTTTTCAATCACCTCATCTGCATATGAAAGCTAGACAATGAATGTTGTTGTTGTTGTTATGTGCCATCAGGTCGGCACCGACTCAAAGGGACCCCTCCTTGGGTTTCCGAGGCAGTATCGCTATGGAAGTAGACTGCCCAACCTTCCTTCCGAGGAGTGGCTGGTGGGTTTGAACTGCCAGCCTTCTGGTTAGCAGTCAAGTGCCTTAGGTACTACGCTACCAGATCTCCTAGACAATGAATAAGGAAGACCAAATAAGAATTGATGCCTTTGAATTATGGCTGGCAATGAATGTTGAGTATATCATAGACCTCCAGAAGAACAAACAAATCCATCTTGAATAAAGTATGGCTGGAATGATCTTTAGAAGTTAAGATGGCGAGGCTTCACCTCTTTTATTTTGATCATGTTGTCAGAAGGGACCAGTCCCTGGAGAAGGA